GAAAAGAAGTGCTTTGTTTTTATTTATCTGTATTTGTTCACTGTACTAAACTCATTATAGTGTTTTTGTAGCTTCTATTGGACTTTTTACATAGATGATCATGCCTGCAAATAAAAAGTGTTATTTCTCTTTCCCATCTGAATGCCTTTTATTTATTTTCTTTGTCTTATTGCACTGGCCAGCAGGCCTTCAGCGCGAGCTGAGTACAAACGATAACGGTAAACACCCTAGACTTGTTCCCTCTCGGGAAGAGAGCATCCGACCAGTCACGTAAGTGTGATGTTGGCTGTGTGGTTTTGTAAATGCCCTTTGTCAGAGTGAGAAAGTTCCCTGCTGTTCTTGGCTCCCTGAGAGCTTTTGTTAGTAAAGGATGTTGGATTTTGTCACATGATTTTCCTGTATCTACTAAGTTTATCATCTGGGCTTTTTTTCTTTATTAATATGATAAATTACATGGATTGTTTTTCTGATCTTAAGCCATCTCTGCATTCCTGACTTAAATCCCACCAGGCCATGTACTGTCTTTTAAAAATATTGTTAGATTGACTTTATTAGAACTCATTTAGAATATTTGCACCTATGTTAATGAGGGATATTTCTCCATAATTTTCTTTTAGTGTTTTAGGTTTGAGTATCATAGTGTTGCTGGCTTCTTAGGAGTTAGGAAGTAGTCCTTTTCAGGGTTTTGAAAATGTTTATGTAGAATTGGTATTATTTCTTACTTAAATGTTTGGTAAAATTCACTACAGAAGACTTCTAGGCCTGAGGGGTTTTTTGTGGGAAGACTTTTAACTATAAATTCAATTTCTTTAATAGATAAAGGACCGTTCAGATATCTATTTCTTTTTGAGTCATCTCTGGCAGTTTGTGTCCTTAGATGAATTTTGTTCCTTTATCCAAGTTGATTAAGGTATTAGCAAAAAATTATTTATACTATACCATTATTATCATTTTAATATTTGTAAGTGATTTAAAGGTTTGTAAGTGATGTCACCTTTCTCATTCCTTTTTTTTTTTTTTTTAATGTTTTTTTTTCTGAGAGAGATAGAGGCAGCGTGAGCAGGGGAGGGTCAAAGAGAGAGGGAGACAAAGAATCCAAAGCAGGCTCCAGGCTCTGAGCTGTCAGCACAGAGCCCGATGTGGGGCTCAAACCCACAAACTGTGAGATCATGACCTGAGCTGAAGTTGGACACTTAACCGACTGAGTCACCCAGGCGCCCTTCACCTTTCTCATTCCTAATATTTGGTGCTGTCAATTTCCCTCTGCAACACTGCTTTAGTAGTGTGCAACACATTCTGCTATGCTGTGTTTTCATTCTAGATAAAATATTTCATAATTTCTCTTTTAATTCCTTATTTGACCCATAGGTTATTCATAAGTATGTTACATTTAGTTAAATATTTGTGGATTTTCCAGATTTTCTTTTGTTATTGATTTCTGACTTAAATCCACTGTAGTCAGAGAAAACACTTTGTATTATTTGAATACTTTTAATTTATTGAGACTTGACTTACTGTCCAAAATGTGGTTGGTCCTTTTGTGCACTTGACGAAAATGTACGTTCTACTCATTCTGCAGAGTGTCTTATAAATATCAACTAAGTCAGTTGGTTGATAGTTTACAAGTCTACCTTTGATGATTTTTTCTTTTTTTCTATCAATTATCAAAAGAGGAATATAATTATGGATTTGTCTATTTCTTCTCACAGTTCTATCAATATTTGTTTCATGTATTTTTAAGCTTTATTATTAGGTTCATGAACACTTAGAATTGTTATATTTTCCTGATTAATTCATACCTTTGTCATTATGAAATGGCCTTCTTTATACTTAATAATCATTCTTCAGAAATCTACTTTAATATTAATATAGCCACATGGTTTTCTTTCCACTGGTGTTAGCATGTTGTGTGTTTTCCCCATCTATTCTAACCTGTGTCTTTATATTTAGTTTTTGTTTTTTACAGGAAGTATACATTTGTGTCTTGCTTTTTTATCTAATCTGAACATCTTTGTCTTTAAATTCACGTGTGTAGACCATTTTCATTTAGTGTAAATGCTGATATGATTACATTTTAGCCTTTCATCTTGCTATCCATTTTCATCTGTCCCAACTCAAAGGGGACTTTGGGAGAAGATCAAGAGATTTGAATGGATACTTAACCGAAGATGATAGTAGAGTGGCAGATAATAAGTATGTGAAAAGATTCTCAACATCGCTTTTCATTATGAAAATGCAAACTACAGCCACAAGGAGGCACTACTGCAGATTTATTCAAATGGCAAAATGGTTGTCCTTAGCTAGTGCCGGTGGGGATGGAGATGAGCTGGACTTCTCACACACCACTGGGGAGAATGTGAACAGCACAAGCATAGTAGAAAACAGTTTACAGCTTTTTAAACATTTAAACATACCTACCATATGACCCAGCCATCCACTCCTAAGTACTTACCCAAGAGACAAAGAAGCTTTATGTCCATACAAGGGCCTGTACATTTATGTCTAGGTCAGCATATTTGTCATAGTCCAAACCTGGAAGTAACTAAAATGTCCACCAACAGGTGAAGAGACAACTTGTTCTTTTATCCACACAATGGAATGCTAGTCAGCAAGAAGGAGGAATGAATAGTTGATAGATGTTATGATAGGGAGGGATCTCAAAACAATTATGAGTGAAAGAAACCAGACACAAAGAATACGTATTTTATGGTTCTATTTGTATAAAGTTCTGAACATACAAACTAATCTGTAGTGACAGAAAGCAGATCAGTATTTTCCTGGGGAGGGAGGAGTGAGGAAAGAGGAAGAATAGGGTTAAAAAAAAGGACATGAAGATACTTTTGTGATGGATTTGTTCATCTTCTTGATTGTAATGATGGTTTCATAAAAATATGTATGTCAAAACTTATCAAATTGCACACTTTAAGTATGTGCAGTTAATTGTATGTCAATCATATCTCAATAAAGCTCCTTTAAAAATACATCTTAAACTTAGAATTTATCACCAGGAGAATACAAATAAGAATGAGGACTTCCAAAACACTAGAGAAAATAAATAGTAAACAGCTCATAAAGCCAAAGAGAGGGAGCAAACAAGGAAAACAGAGTATAAATAACAGATGTATCAACAAACATGTCTGTTTTGACAATACTCTAAATAAAACAATCCAAATATGCACTCTTTGCCCAAGGTACACCCAAAATAAAATACTTGAATGTTCAAAAGGAAAGGATAGCAAAGACATGTTGTGAAAACCACAAAAGAAAGGGTCAGTAAAATGAACGTCAGGCAAGGCAAAAAAGGACAAACAGTAATTTGGTCTGAGGAACAATTCAGGACCTAATGAAGGCATAACAGTGATTAACTTTTAAGCGGCAAATAACTCACCATCAAAATCTATAAAGCAAAAACTGTAAGAAATACCACAGTAAATTAATACTAAAATGTGAAGTCCTGAAAATGTTAACCCCAAGGCCCAAGTTATATAAATCATGTTTTGTTTAATTCTTTCAAGGGCTGGTAGCTGCATACTTGTAGGAACCTGACTCAAATGGCCGGGCCCTCCACAGATTTGCCTAAGAGGGGATTAGCATGTTCTGCCACTCAAATATTTTTCGCCAACATAAATGCCTATATTAAAGCAGTCAAGAATAAATATCCACACCTGCTATTGCAGTGTGGTGAGAATATAACAAGAATGCTGATGATAATGAAGCCAGACATCAACAGAGCCCCACCACTGTTTGCAATTCTGTTAGCCTCGGGCCCTGCAGAAGCTTCATGCCCCATAAAAAGTCAGGGGGGTGTGTCTCACCCTTCTGCAAATCCCTAGGGGTTACGCCCAAGGCCCCTGACCCCAGTCCTTCCTCAGCCCCCGATACTGTTCTCCCCCCCCCAAGTCGAGGCAAACCCAGATGCAGAAATGCGTCCCTTTTCCTTGTTTTTTTCAAACCCTCCTCCTAGAGCCCCCGTGTGGCAGCCGAGGCCACTAAGGTCTGGGGAAGAGGAAGGAGTTTGCAGCTCAGATGGTCGAATGCCTCACATATCTAACCCAGGACCCACCAAGCCCCGGCGCATAGGGCCTTTCCCTGCGGTGAGGCAGAGCTCCTGCTTCCTTCCCGTCAGGCCTCGTCAGCTGAGCCAAACGCCCTCCCACCCCTCCCATCCCTGTCTCCGTCTTGGCCTCTCCTTCGGCAGCAACTCGGGCCTCTCCCTTGAACAAGCATGACCCCGGTGCAGGAGGTAACACAGTGGCCCCTGTACCTACTTCGGAGGAAGTCCATAAGATAACGCTGGCCCCCCCAGGTCCTGGCCATCCCGAGCTTCCCTACATCACGGCGTCGAGCCCTGTCCCAGCTCTGGGGGCACGTGTACTGCTGTCAAGTGGGGGCACTGAAGCTGGGAGAAACTGAGACACGTGTCCGAGGTCCCAAAGGCAGGGCGCGGCCAGGATGCGAGCACGACAGCCCTGCGTGCGACGCCAGCAGCAGGAGGCTGGGGATTACAGACGCAGATTCCTCAGTACTTCCGCGCTGCCCCCAGCACACGGCAGCTGCTCTGTCTGGCTCCGGGTCGCTCCATGCTTAAGCACGACACGCCAGGCTTGACTCAAAGGAGTGTGAGAGAGAGAGAGACAGAATGTGTGTGCACGTGTGAGAGTATGCGTGTGTGTGTGTGAACACTTGGCTCTGGGGACCGAGGTCCCCGCCGTCGCCCCCACTCTGGTGGCCACCTCACTCCTCTCAGCCAGCACAAGGGGGAGGCAGGCCCCCCCGCCGTGCTGCCCCCCGCAGGCCGCACCCATGCCGCGTGGCTCTCCGCTCGCCTCAGAGGCGATCTGGGGGTGTGCCCTCCCTCGGGCTGTAGGCACACGGCCAAGGCTGGGACGGCACGAACCCCCACCCCTCAGGTTGTGGGAGGGGAGGCGATGAGTCTGAAGCAGTAAGTATGGCTTTGGAACCAACTTGGCTCTTCCGATGACAACGTGCCTCGTTCCAGATGGTTCCTGTGCATGTTCTCCGTCGTTAGCATGCTAATTTATTCTGACTCATCGCGAAGCTGCTGCAGGCGGGGCGGCGCACACCGCGATGCCAGAGAGAGACCCGGGGCCGCGATTCCCCGCTGGAAGGGGAGCTCTCCCTGGGGCTGTCACCGGCGCCGGTGGCAGCAGCCTGAGCAGGTTGTAATCCCCCTCCGGTGGCCCTGACGCTCTGTGACGGGACCAGGAGGGCAAAGCTGGAGACACAGGCTCTGGGCACGTTCATGCCGGGAAGTTCAGGATAGTGCACAAATGTAGTTAAAACATAAAGGAGGCATCTGAAACAAAGGCCCGAAGCCGAGAGTCGGGAGCCTGACGTGTCTCCTCAGTCAGCACCTGAGCGGGGCCGGGCAGAGCCCCCAGCGTGGGCCCAGGCCCCGGCCTACACCGTGGTCCTCTGGTCCCCAGGGGTGCTGTTCACCAGGGCCCCTGCACTGGGACACGCGGGAGCCAAGGTGGAGCTGTGCGCCCCCTGTACAGGCCACCGCAAACCCACACTGGCCACTGCGCGGCCCACAGCTCTGCCCAGGGACATCTGGTCACCAGCATCGGCCCAGGCTCTGCGAGGGGCACCCAGGGACGCGGTGTGCCTTCTGGGAGCAGCCCTGCAGCTGCAAAGCAGGAGAGTCCGGGTAAACACCGGGCCCTCGAGCAGGACAGCCTTGGGCCCCGGGAGCCAGGCCCCCGGCAGTCAGCTGGCCCTGGACAAGCCTTCCCTGCCTCGCCCCCACCCTTGCATCCTGGGCACTGCTGGGATTGCCCCCAGGGGTGGCTGGTCCCTCGCCCCACCCCAGGGTCAGCTTCTGGGACACCCAGCCTACTGGGGAAAACTCACCGAAATGGCCACCCTGACCCCTTGGGCCTGGAAGACGGGTTTTCATTCAATCCTGGCCCAGATTCCCAGGTAAAACTGTGTCCCCCACAGCTGGCTTCCGGCCCAGGCCACCCCAGGCCACCCTCCCACCCAGTGCTGCTGGCTGCCCTCGTCGACCTTGGGGCTCCCGACCCCCCAGCCCTCTGCTGTGAGGAGTTCCCTGCCCCCTGGGAGACAGAGTGACAAAGTTGCCAGGGCGCAGCAGCAGGCTTCTGGAATCCCCCACAGCTCCATCCGCGTTGTCTGCAGTTTCCTGGCAACAGGGAGGGCCTGTTTCCGAGGGGGAGGGAGTCTGAGCCAGCTCGACCCCTCCCCCAGGGCCGCCCTCCCCACTGGTAAGGACTCAAGAAGGTCAGCCCGACCGTCCTGAGACTCCCCAGCTCCTGGGAACGTGATAGAGGCGGGGGGCCGTGTGTGGGGAGGACCCAGCGACCAGGATGGGTGGGGGCGGAGAGGTCAGAGCCCACCCGAGTCCCGAGTGCTTGGACGCCCCTTGAGGCCAAACTCCCCCTGCACTTCCTGCTGGGAACAAGCATGCCAGTCGGGCCGCGCTCCAGGCCCCCCCCCCCCCCCGGGCTCGGGTCGAGCCCCCAGCGCCCAGGCCGTAGGAGTGGCCCGCGATCGGCCCCAGGACGGGGACACAGGCTGTGCTGTAACCTGCTCCGTCCACGCGCCCACACACAACAGCGTCCCTCCTCGCGAAGACGGGCATGGAGCTGGCGCGGAGCGAGCTGACCGCGCCCAGCCTGCCCCGCCGCCCCGGTGCGTGTGCGGCCGCAGCAGTTGCTAGAAGCACCCCCACGCCCCGCCGACCTGACTGCACAGGCCACCCGCCCCCAGCTCCAGGCCGCAGCAGCGCTCAGCAGGGAGCAGCGCGGAGGGCGGGCAGCCTGGCTGCGGTAGCGCACTCGGCGGGACCCCGGGGCCAGGCGCCTTCGGAAGCGCAGGGGCTCAGACCTCGGGGTCCTGGCACCGCGGGGCGGGGCGCAGGGAGCCACGGAAGGTGCACCGCGGGACCCCCAGCGGGCCGCGGGGTACCTCCTCCCTGCGCGGGGCGGGGGCTGTCACGCCGTGGGGGTCCCCTGTCCTCACTTTGCGGGCACGTGTCAGGCGGAGCACGGGTGCTGGACGCAGAGCCGCGCCGCCCGGGGCCGCGGGGGCCGCGGAGGCGCAAGTCCGCGCTCACGCGGCCCAGAGGGCGCGCGCCTCCGGCACCGCTCAGCAAGGACCCGGGCCTTTGCCAGGGTCCCCGAGCCCAGCACCTTGCCACTCCGGAGCCAGAGCCAGATTGGCCAAATGGAGCCAGAAGAGTGGGGTCTGGGGAAACCCCAGGGGTCCTCTCCGAGGGGCACACAAGGGGCAGGCCTGGGACGCGCGGAGACTGCCGGTCACACAAGGCTTCGGGGAGTCAGGTCAGGGCTCCTGGCTGCCATCTGGGTGCTGCGTCGTGCGAGGGGCTCGCATTTACAGCCCTCAGGCCGCACGGCCAAACCCCGCAGTTTCCTCCGGTTCCGGGAGGAATCTGGGGAGAGAGGCACCGCCCCCCGAGTCTTTGCACCCGGAGCGCACTCACTGCGCAAGCGCCGCTGGTCGGCCCGCAGGCGCAGGGACTTGGGCGCCGCCGCCCCCCGGTCCTCGTGAGCGAGGCAGCGCTGCGCCTGCTGCCCCGGGTGCCGGCAGTTAGGGCAGGGGGTCCCCTGCGCTGGACTCAGGCATGTGCCAGTCTGGCCCACAGAAGTCTGGATTGTTCCACGGTGACGCGGGCCGCGTGGGGACTTCCCTGCGCAGGAGGGTGGGAGATGGGCCCCATGAGGAGGCGTGACCTACACGGGCTGTGCGTCCAGGGGCCTGGCGGCCTGGGACTTGCCAGGACATGCCCAGATGCTAAGAGCGAGGCAGCAGGCTCGGGGGTCTTGGTGGGCGTGGAGGAAGGGACTCAGTGGAGCGCCCAGCTCCATGCGGGACAAAGCCAAAGCAGACCCCACTGGTGGTCGCTGATGGCCAGGGGTGCCCCCGGAGCCCAGCAGGTAGGACAGTTGGGAATTCCGAACAGGTGGCCGCGCCGGCCCGTGTGGACTGCGGGCACCTGATAGTGTGACACCATTTGCCCATGTGGCCCACACTGCCCGCGGTGGAGGGGTGTTGTCCGAGCCACCGTGCCATCAACCTGGCTGCACCCACACTGCTCCAGCACCAAGCAGGTGTCCTGTGTCCCCTTCAGGCATCCGCTGCTGCCCCTGGGGCCTCCTCCATGGCCAGCTGGGGACAGGGTCCACCAGGTAGGGGCCCAGCTCACAGATGGCCCTGTGTGGTCTCAGGCTTCTGCCAGAGTCCGCGGGGGTCCCCACCTGCTGCTGCTTCCCAGGGCCCTGCTCCCGTCCGAGGACCCGGCGCCCTGTCCCTGGTCTGCTCCAGCCACACCCTGCACGTCCCCCAGGGTCTGTGAGCTCCTAAATGGCTCCAGCAGCACCAAACGAGATTGTCGAGATTGTCGAAAGCCTATTTAAAGCACATGGTAATTACTTCCAGGGGGTTTATAGTCCCGAAGAGCCGCATAGCCACGCCCCGCCGTCCAGGAAGGCAGTATTTCACCATCAAGGACAAGACCCTGGGTATTTACAGACGGTAATGAGACTGTCCACTGCTCGATGTTGCCATAAATACGCAGGAAAAGTGCTGAGTTTCACGCAATTCTCCCTGATTGCCTGGAAGGCGTCATTATTTTAATAAAAAAACTAATCAGCCGGCCTCCCCAGCATCACAGGCTCAGTGTTAATTACAGAGGGGCGGGGAGCCGGCATCCACTGTCACGGGATGGGGGGCTCTCTCGTGTTAAAAGGAGGGAATTAAAGGACAAGAGGAAGAGTGTGCTGACCCTCAAAGCAAAGGAGATAGTGCGGGATGTCCTTCCCGCCCCGGGACAGACACTGCTACCCCACAGGCCTCTCCCCTTCAAGCCAGTCACGTTTCTTGGCTCCCGGGTAGCTGGAGACGGCACCGCGGCACCGTTTGCCGATTCCACGGAGGTAACGTGCGTGGCCGGGCCCCCCAGGAAGTGCGGGGACAGGGGAGGACTCGGTGGTCAGGCCCCCTTCCCTCTTTCACCCCCTGCGGGCTCTGTCCCGCCCTTGCCCCTGCCTGGAATACAGCTGTGACGCGGGAGGTGGGGTGGTCGTCTTGCGCCCGCGAGGCTGTGAGCTGGACCAAAGCCGCGTCGAGGACGGCTGACCAGGACGGAGCGCACCTGCTTTCTCCGTGCGTCTCGTAACACGAGACACGTAAAGCCCATTTCATGAAACCGTCGTTTTATTTAATCCCTAAGCAGTGCCTCCAAGAGTAATCGTTACTAACAAAAGAAAGAAACGGGGCGCCTGGGTGACTCAGCCGGTTAAGCTTCCGACTTTGACTCAGGCCATGATCTCACGGTTTGTGGGTTTGAGCCCCGCGTCGGGCTCTGTGCTGATGGCCTGGAGCCTGGAGCTGCTTCAGATTCCGTGTCTCCTTCTCTCTCTGCCCCTCCCCTGCTCACACTCTGTCTCTCACTCTCTCAAAATTAAACATAAGAAAAAAAAAAAAATAAGGCTACTGGAGAAGTCTTAAGCGGACCCGAGTGGACTCGTTTCTAACTGTGCCGCTCCCCAATACCTGGACCCCACGTCTGCCCGGGCACACAGAAGGGGGGCTGTCTGACTTGGCTCTGCCGGTCACATGGGGCGGAAGTGATGTGTCACTTCTGGGAGGCACGTGCAGTTGCCAGTCTCTCTGTGGTCCCATCTCAGGGAACACGAGAGCACGTGCTACACGAAGCCCCCCAGCCCCCCAGCCCCAGCCCCGGGGGCCCCTCTCGGGCGGTGGGAGGGCGAGGGCTCAGCGTTCCAAGTGCTTGGGGCTCAGGGTCTGTTGTCAGCCCGTCCTGACTGACACAAGCCGTGGGGACAGCACGGACAGTAGGGGCTCCTTATCCTGAAAAGTTTTCTGTTGAGCAGAGAGGCCGGGACTTTCACTGCGACTCTGTGCTGAGCTTCAGAAGGACGAGGGGATGTATCACCCGGCTCCCGTTATTGATTTTCCCAGTGCAAGTGTCTGGTGTCACGGCCCGAGGCCCGCTGGCCCTGGAGGCGTCTTCCCTTGCGCCACCCCTGGGCACCGCCGGGCTTCTGAACGGGAGCCCCGGGTGGGTCCCAGCTCCCCCGTATCCCTGCTTGCGCCGTCCGGGGCTCCGGGAACCTCCACGCACCCCTGCCTCAGGGTCACACGGCACGTCAACAGGGTCCCCAGAAGCAGCCACTGACCAGAGACTGACCAGGAAGGGTGGGGAAGAGGGACGGCCCCATGGGCCCCCTGAGCTCTGTCCTTTCCCGGGGTCCCAGGGCTCCAAGGAGACCCCAGCCTCCCCCTCCCTCCACTGCCAGCCCTCAAGCCATCTCTCCCAGCCCCCCCCCCACCCCCCGTCTTCCAGGACACACCACCCAGCCCTGCAGACAGAATCCAGGCCCTGATCCCCGCGCTCCGGCGGGTGTCGAGGCCCTGGGGTCCTCAGCCTGTCGCCGGCTGCTGGGTGAGGCTGGGTCCCGAGGCCACACGGGTATGGAGGGCCGCAGTCCGAGCCTCACTGCAGGCGGAGGCCGGTGGCCCGCTCGGGGTCGCGGTGAGGATGGCCGCCCTCCGCGGGAGAGATCGTCATGCTCCAGCGCTCCCTGCCCCGCCAGGAGCCCCACGCATGCCCCAGGCCCTTGGGACGGCGAACGGAAGTGGGGATGCTTCTCCAGCGCCACGCAGAACCTTCCAGACACGTCTACAGGTGAGTCATTCAGAGCCCTTGCTGCCCTCTGATGCACCCCCCACACTCACATCAGGGAGCCTGCCCCAAACCGGGTCTGCAGGAGACCCCTCCACGGTGCCAGGCCCCCCGCCCACCCCCCCCCGGCCCCAGGCAGCCACCCTGCTGCGGCCTCCAGGCCAGTTCAGACCCTTCCCCCCGTCCTGGAAGACGTCGCCAGGGAGGCCCTGGAGTTGGGCAGGGGGGCTAACTTCCTACCCCCCCGCCCCCCAAGTGCAGACCCCCTTCCATCCTCTCCGGTTAGTGGGCCCCCCGCTAACAACCAGGGCCACACAGCAGCCGAATGGAGCCTTCAAGGGGTCGACTGACGGAACCGGTGGTAGAAAATCTACTTGTAATAAAACTGTTCATAAAAGTGAAATGTCATTTAAAGGCTCCACTTCCACAGGAAAACAGTTTTATGTCCCCGTAGGCTCCCTCCTCTCTGCTCGCGTCCGCCGGGGCCCAGCATGGGGTGGGGGGCCCAGGGCCTCCGCAGGCACCCTGCCTGGGGGGGGGGTCTCTGTACAGCTGCTCCCCCTGCCCTCCCCCAACGGCAGCCGTGGGCACCAGAGGGATGGGACCCAAACAGCGAGGGGTCAGCAAGGGGCCTCCTGGCTCACCTGTGCCCCCACCCGCCCCCCAGTCGCTTCTTCACGCACTTCAAGCCAAGTGTGTGGGGCACGCGCCCCGGGCAGGCGTGTGGCACAATAAACCCTGGCATCTGTTTCACAGGGGCCGTGGGGAGCCACGGGGCATCACGGGGGCTATGGGGAGCCACGGGGTAGAGTGGGGGCCGTGGGGAGCCACGGGGCATCGCGGGGGCTGTGGGGAGCCACGGGGCATCGCGGGGGCTGTGGGGAGCCACGGGGTAGAGTGGGGGCCGTGGGGAGCCACGGGGCATCGCGGGGGCCGTGGGGAGCCACAGGACAAGCAGGTGGCGGTGTGGGCGGTGAAGCCAGGGTCTGCTGTCAGCTTCTGGGTTTGAGGCTAATGTCTCAAAGAGTCTGGACTCAGGGGTCTGAGGGCACCGGTGAGTGGGGAGGCCCCGCCCACCAGTGAGGCCGTCTTAGAGTAAACGGTCCTCCCTGTGGCTGTGCTGACGGTGCCCGAGGCTGGAGACGTCACAAGCCTTCCTAACGCACGTGGCCAGGACGCTGAGTGGCTTCCCGCGTGGCCTGGGCTTGCTCACAGTGTGGAAGCCGGACTCCGAGGGAACAGGTGACCTGCGTGGCTGACAAGTCCCACAGCGTCACTTCCCCCACGTTCTGTCCACCTGCCCAGACCCACCAAGACCCACGGGGACCGGCCCTTTCAGGGAGGGAAAGTAGGCTGCCCCGTGGGGGTGGGGAGCCCCTGCATGGGCTGTAGGGGAGTCAGAGACCCTCACCCAGCTGTGTCTCTCTGTCTCTCTCTGTCTCTGTCTCTGTATCTCTCTGTCTCTCTGCATGTCTCTCTATGTCTGTGTCTCTATCTCTGTTCTCTGTGTCTCTCTGTCTCTGTCTCTCTGTCTCTGTCTCTCACCCCCCTCCCTGGGGGAGCAGCTATCACAGCTGTCATGTCACATGCAGTCATGGGGAGAAGCCCACGTGACAAGGAACCCGTGTCCCGGCCAACAGCCACGGGGGACATGAGGCCACCAGAAGACACGTGAGGGAGCCTGGAAGGGGCGCCCGGTTGAGCCCTCAGGGTCTGGCAGCCTCGCTGACCCCCAACCACAGGCTGTGCCCCAGTCCCTGAGCGTGGACCCGGCAAGGCGGCCGATCATGAGGTCAGGGTCCCGGCAGCAGGAACAACCACGTCCTTGTGGTTTGGGGACACAGGGACCCAGACGTCATCATTGAGAGTCTGTTGTTTCGAGACACTTACAGGTGCACTGACACAGGGGGTGGGGTGCGGGGGATCCAAGACAAGCCTGGGGTTGAGGCTGGTGACCCTGGGGGTGCGCGGGGAGCCCAGGGTGGTGGGGGTGCACTCCCTGCTCACACCCAAACCCACCCCCATGGGCCCTGCAGGCAGCCCCACCCCAAGGTCCCTGAGTCAGCCAGCAGGAGGTCAGGGTGGCGCAGGAGGGCAGGAGGGGCCCCTGAGTCTGGAGGTGGGAAGGCCCCATAGCCGCTCTGTCCTCAGCACTGCACCCCCTCCACGGTGAGGGGGACCCCAGAAGAGGGGCCACCTCCATGTGCTCCCTTCTGTCCTTCCTGCCTGTGACCGTCCCCCAGCTGCGCCTCCTCCGTCTGGCAGCCTCCTGCCTTCCTCCCTCCAGTGGGGGGCTGGCGGCCAGGACTTGGGGGCCAGGGTTGCCGGGCTGAATGCTCAGGCAGACCCCCAGCTCACCGCCCCCGCACACACCCCTGAGGCCGGGAGCCCATTCCTGCACCGCTCTGGCAGCACCGGCCCCCCAGCCCCCGTGGCGTCGCAAGCCCCTCATGCCACAGGCCCGGCGGGACTCCCCTGGGGGCAGAGCCCAGGGGCCGTGAGCGCCAACCTGCTCTCCTGCTGCAGCTCAGGGAGCGGCTTTGAGACCACGCTCCGCACCCCCTCACCACCCGGAAAACCCTCTGGTCAAGGGCAGGGAGGCAGCCACACTGAGCATCAGGCCCACCCACCTCGGGGGTCTGCTCCCACCTGCCCTGCCCCCAGCACCCCTACGCGCCCCCCACTGCACAGGTGCGCAAACCACATGGGGACCACCCTCGCCTGCTGCCCTGGGCCTTGACCCGCAAGCCCACGCACGCCGGGTCCCCACTGCCCGGCTGCCTCCTCGAAGGAGAAAGGTCTGCAGAGGCGGACATGGCAAGGAGCAGCCGGCCCGGCACGGGCATCTGTGAGCCGGTGGGCGGGGGCCCAGCTGGCACGAACCCTGAGCCCCTGCCCCAGGCCCGCCTGGGTCCACCCTGCACATACGGGCAGAAGGACTGGATTCCCGGCCCCTCCAGGCCTCACCTGGCGGAGCTTGAGCCCCGCCCAGCGGCCCCGCACCGTGGAGCCGACCTGTCCCCTTTCCAATACGCTCCCTTCCCGGCTAATCCAACCGGAGACTTTCAACCTCACTGTAATTTACAAGGCAGCTGGAGCACAGGATATTTTTAATAAAAATTAGGTACAAGCAGATACAGGGGATTAATAGTTGTATTATGATTTTATAGTTCTCCTCACACAGTGGCGTGGGAAAGACAATCAGAGCAGAGCCATTTCAGG